ATCAGCATTTGAATACTATTCCATTTTTATACACTAGTGTAGTTAGCCTTGGGGGTATATTACCGTTATTATTGTTGCTATTATTGTTGTTATTATTGTTGTTATTATTGTTATTATCATTATCGTCAAAGCATTGGGGACCCGACAACTTATTCAGTACTCAGTTTCACATATACTTGAATAAGTCAAAACAGCCCGACGATAGATGCAAGCAGCAACATTACATTCAACGGCAGTTATTTGAACAACAAACGACAGACCGAATTTTTGCTATTTTCGAAGCAACTTCCTGCGTCTCCCTCAGTTCGTAAAATATTGTTTTGACAAACCACAAATGGGGAGGGGAGGTATACACGGCGCTTGACATAGCGCGAGTTGTAGCGAGTATTTTAATTTGCTCTTCGTTGCCCGCTGTAAAGCGTGCCATAGTCGCAACGGAGGCGGCTTTCGGATTTGGAGTTGCTGCAAATGTAAAAATGTCTCTCATTATTCCCGCCGACACACGCGTCCAGGAACGTTGGAGCTGCGTGATGTTCGCGTCGCTACTCCGGTGTCCCTGCTGAGTTGGTTGAGGCCCTCATGCAAGTTAACGTGTTTTTACGCGTTATGCGTATTTCTCAACTCGCTGAACCGATTAGGGCGAAATTTTCGTTTCGACGCTGGAATTATCGTTAGATGTGCTACTGCTCCCTGCTCCACACTGGAATTATCATTTTACCCCCGCGCAATAAAATTGTTCGTTATCAGATCACTTACGCAGAGTGGGAATGTGCAAAGCTTTTCAGACAAAATAAGAACACATGTCTTTTTAAACATTTTATTAAATTTCAAAAAACACAAAAAGTTATTTTAATACAATGCATGAGTGATGCAGTAATTTAATTATGTAACTTGATCAATAACTATAATGATTTTAAAAAGAAATAAGGAAGTATGCGGACTCATTTTACGTTAAGGGTGCGTATTTGAAGTTTATGGTATTCTATATAAAAATATTAGTAATTATAATTAGTAAGAACATTAATAATTTACATTTTTGCACTAGTTTTTCCATTAGGTTGTTAGTTTAGATTTTCAATCCAAAAACTATCATCAGAAAGAATTTAAACATTATTAACATTCAATGTAATGAATACATTCAAAACTATTAAACATATTGACTTGAGCAAATCGACTTGATTAAAGAGATATGTCTTGAGCAAATCATCTAATAATAATGTAATAAACAAAAATGAATAAAAAAAGGTGTCTGATCAATAAATAGAGATATTGTCAGGTATCAATATTTTAATTCCACTAATGATCATTTCGATCGCGTAGCGATCATCCTCAGAGCTTGCAGCTTCTGGGCCGAAAACAAAGTGCAGAACTTTGTTTTCGGCCCAGAAGCTGCAAGCTCTGAGGATGATCGCTACGCGATCGAAATGATCATTAGTGGAATTAAAATATTGATACCTGACAATATCTCTATTTATTGATCAAAATAAAAAAGGTATCTACTTCACCAACAATCCAATTAAAAGGTGTCTGATTTCAAACGAAACGAATTTGTTCTAACGCTGTCTGACTGAACCGCCAATAGTCGTGCAACTACCACTCGAAAAATGAAACCTCTCGACATATTTCAATTGCCAGCTCGAGGGCACTAGGAAATTAATACTGCATGCGTTATTATGCAGACCCGGAAGCAAAAACGCAAAGGCGGTAGTCGGTATGACCACGCCGCCACAGAGGTCTTTCCACCCTTGATGTTGGTCCGTGATACCATTTGAAAACTAATACTGATCTGAAACGAAGTCCACTATCTCCTTTCAAGATCGTTTTAGATTGGAGCATTCCTTATGTAGAACGCGCTTCAATTTGCGTAACGTTATTATTGGAATTAATTTAACGATATAACTTCATCTAGCGGTAGTTTCTTCTCGGTAACTTGAGTCGCAATTCTATTAAGCAAAGGTCAAGTGGTTTCTAACCTCTCAATTTCACGACGGGCAAAGAAAATAACATAGCAGCTCATTCACGTTCATTCCGACTGACGGATTCTCGGAGTGAATTAGTGGGTGTGCCTGCGTACTGTTTGATAGGACAATCCGCTAACCAAACAAGGGAGTTAAAAGGTATTAAATAGTAGCACGCAAACGTCGACTGTTCGATCATTTAAAATTCTCGTTGGTAATGAGACATATAATTACACTGCACCCAAGAAAAAAACTCTTTTCAATTAATATGATTTCGAAATTAAGGCAATTCCGCATTTAAGAAAATTAATACTGTGTAATTAATGTTTTCGAACTTAGAAGTTTGAGTCCCAAACATCATTTCTAGAAACTGAGCATATGATACTCTAAATGTCGAAAACAGAGAACAGTGGGAATACTGTAGGCTCTTTGCTAGGCTATTATCGCGTGTAACTTTTTCACTACAAAACAATTTTCTTGCATAAAACGAGAAAGCACATCAAAACCGCGTCATCTACTTCCCGTTCGATCACTTCGCATATACATAAAATTTTTCTGTGTATTGATGAACATGGGTTACTGTACGTTTTCGAGTTTTGTTTTTTGCAAATTGAACACGTAGTGATGACAAAAGTCAAACCGCGTCATCAGTCATTGTCCACCTGACCATACCGCATACATCTCCTCGGGAACAATGAGAATGCTATATGCTTCTTCCAAAATTATTACCGCGTGGAACATTTCCACGACAAAACAAAATGTTTTGCATGAGAGGAAGAATGTCAAAACAACCCCATCTTATCGTGTTCGATTTCTACGCGTTTACAATACGCCTTGTTTTGAATTCATGAAAGTCACGTACGTGTAGGGTTTGTCTTTTCCACATTATGCATGCAGCGATGACCCAGAAGCCACCTCGGCGACAATCTCAGTCCATCGTGTCATCTCATATCCATCGGGTCATCTCATCACATCCATCTCTTCAGGGACGTCGAACGTAAAATATGAGACCCATTTGGGATTTCAAACAAAACGCCAGCTTTTCCTCCTTCGATCACTACGCGTTTACAATACATCTTCCTTTGAATTCATGCGCGTGACGTAAGTTTCAGGATTTTGTCCTGTTCGAATTATGCAAGCAGTGATTATCCAGAATCCAACCGCTGTGCGAGTCCGCGCCCGTATCCGTCTCCTCGGGGACGGCGGAGAGAATTAAAATTTCAGATCCGTCTGGGTGTTTCCGTTCGTTGTCAAGCATTGCGCTGCACGTGCGCCCCACTACTCACGAGGCACGCCTCCGGTCGCTAGGGCAGCGGCGCAGGGCGCCCAGCCCCCGGAAACCGAGGACAAGCGGACGGAACTGTTTCTTACACTTATGCATTCATATCGGTTAGGCTGCACCGTTCACGTCACTAATCGCATACACGCGGGCAGTACAGATAAAGTTACGAAGGTAAACATATTGATTGATTCATTATTTCGTGTTATATAGTCGTTGGTCCCGTAAGAGAAGTGCATGTTTATCACGCGAGATGGTGGTGATCTTCCCGGCTGGATTATGGGATTCGGCGTCGATACATACACCGGATTGCCGGTTTTGCCCATTCGGATATCCACCACCAGCGGGCACTGCCTCAGTTGGGACAAACTCTAAGCTCCCGACGTGTGTAGTAGTGTAGTGTGGTGTGTGTATGTGTGGGAATAAGTTACGTATGAGGAAGGGAAGGAAGATCGCGTGCGATTCGTGGCCCGTTTGTGGGGTTACTGCTCCGGCATTCGCGTGGTGTTAATCGTAGAATCTTCGGAAAACTATCGATCAGAGCAGTCGGCGGCTAGAATGCACCTCCAGATTCGCTTCCGGGCTTATCGCATTCTCCCTGAAACAGGATGGCCGAATCATTCTTTGTCCTAAATTTCAAAATACACACGTATTTACCCAATTTTCGGACCTCATAAAATTAACCCTCGGGATCGGTGAACGTCAGTGAACATTCAACAGAAAATAATTATTCTTTAAATTTGACGACAATTATTAAATGTTCTGTTGAAACTGGAGAGATAAACATTCATTATCACAATAATATTCTATGGGTAAATATTACAGAAAAGACATGGCGGCTGTCTGTGATTTCGTTAGTATTCTCGTCACTTTAATCCATATCGAAAGCGAACAATATGTTTTAACACAAGTCTACACAATAACGCTGGAGAATGTTTTCCTTTTTTATTTAGTATTCGAGTTTTCCAATTGTGAAAGATACAGTGTTATTGTCAGTCTCATTTTTATTTCTATTCGTGCCGGAATTAACAAAATAGAAGAATGGACTGGCGTCAATCTCCGCCTCTCAACAGACTTTTCCATTTGCTGCGTGGCATGTACTTCACCAAATACACGGTGCGACCGAAACACTGGAAAGTCGTGGGAAAACATAGATTTTTGCACTTTTGTCGGGTACAACGCAGTAATGAATATATCAGATATCTTTAGCAATAGTGAAACTAGTATTTCTTCACTACGTATTCTAACATGGTTTTACTTTATGAGTTAAGGATTGCTTCCTTTAAATGCATACAATCCATTTTTATTGGTGATTTTTTAGGATGTGTGTACATAGAGCCAGACAGAAAAATAGCGTCCTACATATTACATATCCTGTGTCAATTCAACAGGATTTTCCTTCTTAAATTTCCAACCAATTAAAATTTCCGATGGATAGTAGCCGGATGTTGTTTTTGAGGCGACACGAGCCGCCTTGATCACCGGAGCGAGGCACGTGCGGAGGAGGATAAACTGTCGCCGCTTGTTGGTGACAGTAACGGTGATCGCTAGAGTTGGCGGATATGGTGGTGACGGCAGCGGAGTGTGGTGATGGCGCAGGTAGGCGTGGTTGTCACAGTTAAATAATTTGAAGGGTGGCGATGACACTAGTGACAGGGGTGGGAGAGCAACATAAACAGCCGAGGTTGAGGTAGCTAGGAACTAACATGCCATGGAAAGAACGAGGATATGAAAGTTGAGGAATTGTGAAGAAAATTATTAAGAGTCTAAAGAGGAAGAAAGAAGGACAGAAGAAGTAGGTGGTGAAGTAGGAGTTGGAGGTAGAGGAGGAGCAGGAGCAGAAGGAAGAAGAAGAAGAACAAGACGAGGAGGATGGGTCAGAGGTGCAAGGAAACAAAGAGGATGTGGAGAGGAACTTAATGAAGAAGAGAAACAGAATGAGAACGATGAGGAGGAAGAGAATGAAAACATGTAGGAAAAGAAAAAAATAGGAGTATAATGAGGATGAGGAGGAAGAGGGTGACGATAATGAGAAGACTAGCAGCGCCAGCAGCTATAATTGGTGACTGTGCTGACAATTTCTGTGTAGTGGTGATTTTGTTGGCGAGGGCAATGCCAAAGGCACTGTGCATTGCGGTTGTC